TGAAACGATACCACTGGACTCCTAAGGACATTCCCTTTATCGTGCTGCCTTTTATGTCATAAAAGGTGCTCAAAGAGCCAAAACTCTTTTGAGTTCTTCTGTTGAATATGTGTTGTTATATCATAAATCTAATTAAACACAAATGAGTTATCACTAGGCACAGGTGAGCCAAATACTTATATCCAATACATTTATTCCAATAAATTGATGAATGAATGGAACTGTGGAAGAAAGCTTTTCTAGACTGATTCTCCATTTTGGTATAAGAAGTGAGAAGAGAAAGAAATAGAATTGAAGACTCTAAGATTGTAATTGTAGAGTTGTTGGCTTAATGTTATTTAAATCAAACATTTTCTTTCCTACTGTTTCTGGGTAGGCCAAAGAGGCAAGTAATTTGAGTAAATGCTGATGGGGCCCCTTTTCGCTATCCTGTTAAACATTATTTTTGTGAGTAGATGGTACCCAAAGAAGTTCATTCTTTCAGAAACAGAATACTCTTAAATAAGTTTAATAAGGTAAAAAAATAAAGTCAAAAGGTCCATGATGCATCAAAAATCTCTATCATCTCTGCCATTCTAGTGACCTGACCACATGAGATTTAGAAGGTCCTGTTCTCTTAGAAAATAAGGAATCTTCTTAACCTGACCTGAAACCCTTGGTATAGAAGACCTTCATTGGACTCCAAATGTCACTATTTCATTAACTTTAAGTGATTTTAATAGTAATGTTCTTTCAAAATTCTTGAAATCATCTGCAAGTTACCCAGATATCTCTTAGCTATAATCCACATACTTTTCCTGTTGTATCTCTTAATACTATCAGGCCCAAATAAGTAAAAATCCTTTGTAAGCTGACAAAACAGCTTTGTATAATACAGGAGTGGCTATGATCATACTTATACTATTAAAAATAAATTCAGTCTGCTGAGATAGAAAAGAATAACAATTACTACAAAATAAACATTCAGATTTAGATAATGTTTACTCTGTACAAAGCACTGTATTTGACAAAATGGGAAATAAAAAGAAAATTAAAGTCACAATCTTTTCCTTCCACAAAACTATGGTCTATTTGGGAGCCCTATCAGTAATTGGAATATGAATAACTATGAGAAGTCCTATAATAGAATTTCAAATAAGATGCCTTAATAATTTAGGAAAGCCTAAACCTAAATTGTGGTGATGATTGCTCAGTCTTATAAATGTATTAAAAGTCAGCAAACCATATACTTAAAATGAGTGAGTTTTATGGTAGGTCTATTATATCTCAACACTGTTAAAAAGTTTAGAGAAACAAGAATTGATGTCTGATTGTGAAACTTGGGGAATATTTTTTTTGCAGTTGGTGGACCCTAAGCTGGATTGTAAAGGACAAGTAGTATTGGGATCAAAAAAGAAGCAACAGATATTCCAGAGAAAGAAAACAGCTTGTCCAGAATCTAAAAGCTAAACAATACAAGGCATTTTTTGGAGAAGCTAGGTCAGATTTTGCTCCATGCCTTAGATTATGTGGCTTGCATTCCTACCAGTGCATACGACCGTTTCGCTATAACACTTGTAAAATGTCCTGGCCACTCCCGATTGAAAAACATATAACTGTTCGTGGATTTTTTTCCTCTCCTTGAGTCAGAAATAAGCTCTTGCCTCCATTTTGAGCTGATAAAGTTATAATGAGGAGGGTATGTCATCATAGAGTTATTTTACAATTGTCAGTGGCTCCATTGATCATAAGTACTGACATTGTTTCCGTTTATATGGTTTAAAATTACTGATATATGTATTATATCTGTAGAGCCCTACAACAATCTTTATTTTTCCCATGAGGAAACTGAGATTATAGAAGGGCCCAGAGCCTAAAGTACTAAAGCCATGCTAGAGGTCAAGCTATTTTGGCTTGCTAAAAATAAAGTGGGAAAGAGAAAATCAGTACATGATCTTTGAATAGTTACAAATCTGCTAACTAAATTGGGATGCCACACATGAATCAAAACTTTTACAAAAGAAAATAAATAAATAAATAAATAAATTTAACTATTGTCATCAATAACAGGAAAACAAAGTTGAAATTTTTTTATAATCCTATAAATGACAGGAACAGCCCATGTTAAATAATTTTATTGATAGTAAAGCACATAGGAAACCTAGTTTGTAAATAGGTATCCTTTTTGCTGTTAGCTTTTAACAGTGTCAAAAAATTAAAATTTAAAATGTATTTTTCCAAACCATAAGCCTTCTCAGATTACATAAGTAACCAAATATACGGAAGCTTAATTTCTAACTTAAGATGTGATTAGTGTCTAGTAAAGTCATGCTAACAATAGAGTTTTCTTAATGTCCATCAAAGAAGGTGACTTTTTTTTGTTCTTGACTAACTGCTCCTAATTTTTCAATATGAGCCATACTGTATAGCATGTATAAGAAAAAGAATACAAATTAGCCTGGTGAGCAGCAAAATTGTGAAACCTGATTTGTGTTAATCTTCAGTTGAGTGTTATCTCCATTTTAATATTTATACATTCTTATATTATTATGAACCTATCCTTAACATGGGTTTTATTTGTTTCTCTCCTCCCTTACTTCTGTGAAATACAGAAGGGAAAGGATATTTGTTATTCACGCATTTGTACCCCACTAACTCGTGTTACACATCTGGCTTCCACTGGAGAGCCCCTGACATCGCAGGGAACGGTGATCAAAATTCCACACACTAGCTTCAAGCTGGGGGCTCGTAGCTACTGCAGCATTGAAAGGGAATCTTTTCCTGGCTTCTTTAAACTAAGCATGGTGATGGGATGGTTTAAGGGAAGAACACCTCTCAAATCACATGACCACTGCTGCGCTTCCGTGTGTCCTGCTTTCTTCATAACAGCTTGGCACTACATTCTTTCCCTGTATTTAGTGGGCTTGTGTGTGTGAGGGGGGTGGAGGGTGGGGAGATAAATGGATAGTTATACATTATGCATGCATCCTTCACTGTTAGAGTGATGTACTTTCCCTTATCTGTCACAAACTATGGTCACAGATTAAAACTTCTGTGTCCTGAGAGATTGGGCCAGCTCTCTCTTTTTGGTGTGAGATTCATGTGTTTTGGTGTGTTTCAGTGTTTACACCCTCAGTTGTTCTTTGTGTTGCATTGAACATAAGTTTAAATGTTCTCCCATAAGAGTTAGCTTTTCATGTTGGGCTGAAAAACTCTTCATTTCTGTGTAGCAATTCATGTTATTATAACCTATGGCTTTCAATTGTACCTCCCATAATGAAGAGCTGACTTTAAACACTGTGCTATTCTTATTATGACCTAAGCATAAGGTAAGTGATTTCTCTAACCATATCTAAAGATCGTGATTGTTTGTTAAAATTTTCTCAGCTTTTTTAAAGGCATTTTCACTTTTGTTCCTTACCATTTATTATGTGCTCTCCCTCCTTTTGTTTTCTGTTTTGTATCTTAAGATTTCTCAATGAACAATGTGATCTTCAGCAAAAATTATATTACACATGTAAACACATGTGGAAATGAATTATTTGATGTCACAAAGCAATCTTGATTAGTAAATGAATACCTGTGTTTTCAATAAATCCCTTGTGTTTTTCATTTCTTCCATTGACTTTAATATAATATACTGTTCTACATGTTATTTCAGTTTTTATTCTAGTTGTCCATACCATAAAATCAAATGTTAATTGTAGTTAAATAACATGATCCAATAGAATAAAGTAGTAGGTAATCTTATAACCATATGCTTCATTTTTAATCCCTGACAAATTTGCTATTAGCCCAAAAATCTCAGTTTTTTGTTTGTTTGTTTGTTTGTTTTGAGACTGGGTCTTGCTCTGTCACCCTGGCTAGAGTACAGTTGTGCCATCATAGCTCACCACAACTTCAAACTCCTTGCTGGGCTCAAGCAATCCTTCTGCCTCAGCCTCCCAAGTAACTGGAACTATGGCATGCGCCACCAAGCTCAGCTAATTTTTCTATTTTATGTAGAGACAGAGTCTTGCTGTTGCTCAGGCTGGTCTTAAACTCCTGACCTCAAGCAATCCTCCCACCTTGGCCTCCCAAAATGCTAGGATTATAGGTGTGAGCCACTGCACCTGACCTCAAAAATCTCAGTTCTATTTTGTTTTCCAGATTTTCCTTTTTTTCCCATTGAGTAAAGCCAGGGAAGAGAAGGAGAAAAAAAAAAAAACCAACAACAAATCATAAAACTTGAGACAGACCTGTGTTACCTTCTTTGTGGTCCATTTGTATGAAAATAATAGTTGTTTCTCAACTTCATCCTTTCAAATAAATCCCATTATGTTGTGAGTTAGGTAAAGTCTTCACACTGAGATTTTATAAAATTAAGTAGATAGTATAAAAATGACCAGTTTCATAGTGTAAGAGAGAGGGTCATTTACTACATGCATAAATAGTAAAGTCTTTTAAAATTTACTTTCCTTCGTGTTTTTTTATACATATATTCAAGATCATTAAATTAAAGAAATTCTTGTAATCACTGATTTTAGAAGTGATTCTCCTGAAATCTGGTTCAAATAGCCAATGTAATCTAAATGGGAAAACATTGGTTATACAGCTGTTGGCAATTTGTGAACCTTGATAAGTGCTCAGAGTCAGGAAATTGAATTGTTCACACCATCCAAATTTCTCCTCCTGAGTTTTTTAAAATATGTAGTTCTAAACTGAGGTGCCACAAAGCAACACTGAGGTTTCTTTATTCAATTCATGTTATTAATATGATTTTTTTTTTGTTAATTTTTTAAGCCACATAGGGAAGGGGAGAGGGTATTTTGTTGTGGTTTTGTTTTGTTTTGTTTTGTTGTTTTTAGGGGTTTGTTTTTCTGGGGCCAGCTAGCTTTTCACCACCATTTCCATTATATACATTATATAATGTATATAATAGGCATTATACAAATCTGTTGGAACATTTTATGAGACAATTTGAACTACTCATCTGAACTGCTCTGTTCATTGTAAATCTCTTGTTTCTATCCATACACTAGCTCCACTCTAGATTGGAAGGGCTTAAAGATGAACTCTGGAGGAATAGAGGCTACGACTTAAGAGTAACTATTACTGATCAAAGGAGCGACTTTCCATTCGCAAACGCTGCTTTGCGCTATGGGTTTGGGCTCCTTCTGTTTCTACATCTTGTTGAAGACTTTCTTAACTTCCATTTGACTTCTTTGAATTCTGTTTTTGTCTTTTAACATTTCCCCCTTTCTTTTCCTTCTCTCTCCCAGATTTTTCTCTCACTCTTTTAGCTTTCTCTTGTGTTCTTTAAATCACTTTTTTAAAATGTAGTTTCTCTCTTTATTAAGCTTGTCTATTAATTTGTCTGTTAGTGTGTGTTTCTTTTCTTCTTTAAGGCTGTAGTGGTATAGTTATACTTATTTTTATCCCATAGTATGCCAACTTGCTTATTTATTTTGCAGCAAGTTCATTAGTCATTCTTACCCTCTTGGTATGAATTTTCAATAAAAAATAGCAGATCATTCTGCATTTATGTATTATCCCCTTCTATAAGCCCATACTTTCTTTTCTATTGTCTAGATTTACTCCGCCAAACCTCTCTCTCTTCTTTTTCTTTTTCTCATTCTTCCCTGTATTGTTTTCTTTAAGCAGTCATTAATTTCTTTCCCATTTGGTCCAGAATTGTTCTTCAATAAGAATCCTAAGTAAAAGTATATAAGAATATTGTCTTCCAGATTAGCTTCTTCATTCTAGATTCTAGTGTATTTAAAACTAGTTAAACAATCTGGGCCAAAAGAGAATAACTATAACATTTGGAATTCTTTCTTTCTTTCTTTTCTTTTTCTTTTTTTTTTTTTTTTTTTGGTGTGCGTGTTTGTTTGGTTTTTTTTACTTGTGTGTATGTTTGTGACTTTTTTTATTGTTGTTGTTTCTTTAAACATTAACAAATGTTTTTTTCAGGGAAGGACAACCATAACCCACCCTAAGTTGCAACATTCCTTTCATAAGTTGTTTCATTACAATAGTAGATTGTGTTAAACTATAGAAATTAATTTGTTGTGTATATATCCATTTGGGGCAAGCTGCTGGGGAGTGGGAAGAAGAGGTGTGGAGCCAAATACAGTTTCCTTTGAAATTAACATGTTAATGCCATCTAAGAAGGTCCTTGAATGCAACATTTTTATAAAAACTGCAACAGTTTGGTAACATTTAACAGTATATTTTACTTTGACATAAACTTTTGAATCAGAGCATAAGGATTTCTGATTGATAAATTATATACACACCTAAGAACTGGCAAATAAGTGAATTCATTTTCATTATTTCCAGCAGCAGCATCTTTTAATCAATATTATAACTTCATGGACATTATTATAATAAATAAACAACAAAGGATATTAAAATCAAAGGTAAATGTTATATATAAGGATTTCTGTTCTCCTAATGTTAACATATATATACTAAAAATGACTAAATGGAATACTTGATTATAACTTTATTACTTAAATTTCATTATTCTAGTCAAGAAATATGCTAAATGCCTTAATATTTAGCATCTGTATTTACAATTGAATATGCAGCAACTTGAATTTTTTTCCATATGTTGATTTCAAATATAAATGAATCAAAAATTGCCTTTGGTTTATCTCTGTTCAGTTTACAATATGGTACCCCAAATTTTTTATGGAAGTCAATTCTTTCCTTAAAGTAAGGAAAGGATAAATAAAAAATATATGAAACAAATGTTACATTTTTAATAACACATTATAACATCTGAAATATGTAAAGCCTTTGCTCCTAGACCTCAGGAGCTTGCCCATTAAATATACGTTTCTGGTAATCCATATTATAAGCCCTAAATTACTGAGTTTATGCTCTCTCTGCAGGTCCAGTCCAGGTGCAGCAGCAAGGAGAACATTCTCAGAGCCAGTAAGTATTTTATCATTTTAGGTGGGATACAGAACTAGAGCTTATGGTTCAATTGAAAGTAAAGCTAAAAATGACATTTTAGTGGGGAAAAAAATGAAGAAAAACAATGGCTAAAGTTTATATCAAGACTATGAATATTAGGGCTTTCACTTTCTTAAAATATTAGTTTCAACATATTAAAGAATTTTCCTTTAATCTGATTGTTTTTGCAAGCTGACAGCAGAACTATAATGGACTCCCAGCAGCCTTCTCTGTGACTAAGACGCTAATTACCCCACTGCCAAAAGATATTTGAAAACAGACTAACTGAAAATAATAGTAATATAAATCTATTAAAGGAGGCTAACTAAAAAAATGTGACTCCTAACAAGGTACATCATATCGTTTTGTAAATATGAATTCCTGAAAGATCTTAACTTCACAGACAGTATGTTTTAGGACATAGAACCCTGAACCAAGGATAAAGAATCCTTAATTTTATTTTTTGGTTTGATCACTAATAGCCTTAACTTGAAAGTCATTTAACTTTGTATATTATTCATTTTCCTATCTTATAAAAAGGAGCTATAAGTAGCTTTTCCTTACTTGTATCCTTGAAATGAAGTCACATTGAAAGTTGTGCCTTAAAAGCTTTGGGATCCTAAGAGAAAAGGGCTGTTTAAATGCTAATTATTTTATTATTATTCTCTGTAACTTGATACCTTAATGACATCATCCTGATCTTTATCATTCCTCATCTTTATCAAAAAAAGTAGTAGTAGAGAGCCATACCGAAACAGGTCTATTGGATACCCACACCCCTAGGAGGTTTAGCAAATGGAATTTATATTTCCAGTAGAATGTCAGTATTATTTAACAATCAGAAAGTAACTGAAGAACTTCAAATAGGTAAAAATTCATGGGGTTTTTTAGTGTAAATTTTTTCAATTTCTGTGTTATAAATCTGTCATCTTAGCTCAAAACCCTCAGGCAGACACACTGCAATTGTTTGCCCAAGATCTTTGTATTAGAGTTATATATATAACTCATATATTTTTATATATATTTATATATATATAACTCTTATATATAAAAAAAATATAAACAGACATGCTTACATCACAAGTTTCCACAACATTCAACAGACATGTGAATCTGAGAGAGACTCTCCCAGTAATAAGAGATGTAAAATCCTATAATCCCTTACTAGGACCTAAAGTGGAGAAATCGAAGGGTCAGCGGAGAGATGATTGAATATTCACTAAAATAAAACAATAGAGATAAATGAACATTAAAAATGATATTTTATGATGATTACTGTGTAATTCCCATTTATTGTTGTTCTTGAAATGATGGTGGGTCACTGGTAGTGATTATGATGATTAGGAACAAAATAATTTCTTATTGAGAACAGATTCCTTTGACCCTTCTTTCATATCCATCATAGATCTTTGTATTAGAACTGTCTTTTATTTCAGTTATGTGCTTATTGGCTCATTAGGTGTTAATCATTTTGGATGGACTTCATAATGGCCCGGGTTTCTCTGATCATGTTTTCTTAGGATGAAATAGTCATGTAGATGGTCCTTATAACCATTTAGATCCATATGGAGAGCCAATCCAACATCATAGCCTCATATTCTGTGACTTTTATAAATTTATTGTCTTTCTTCTCAATACCACTTTGATGAACTCATACTCCTGCCTATAGCTCCACCCAGGATCCCTTCGTCAGCATGAGCTATTCTGCCTCTGAACTTCTTAACTTCAATACTCCATTGCTTATTTAGACTATTTTTAATCTCCCTTTTTGTCTTCCTTTGCCATGTACTATCATACTACAATCATATGGAACCTGTTAGCGGTTCTCCATTCTCTCAATGCTGTATCCTGCCTGTATTCCTTTGAACCTTTTCTCCCTTGCATAAACTATTACTTCCCTTCTATTCCTGGAGAACTTTTACTTATCCTTCAAGATTCATTTCATATATGATTCCCCCCACTCAAGGTGATTAATCCTTCTTGTATACCCCTACTGTTCCATCTACTTTAATCAATTTTTTCACTTATTTACTAATTAAACTAACCTCAAGGAAAACATTTCCAAAATGTAGCCAACATAAAGAAAACTATAATCAACTTCTTTTCAAACATATATATGTGTTATATATATTATATGTAATGTAACATATTATGTACTTATATTAATATATTATTATAATATATTATATATTATAATCATATAATTATGTTATATATTATATAACATATAATTTATACATTATATGTATATTATATATAAATGTGTCAAACCAGTGACACGCAGACCAATGGATCCTAGAGAAAGGAGAAAAGTTAAAACTCAATACAACTTATCTAGAATTGAGTGGCTTTGTCAAAGGAAGAGGTAACTTTCCTTCAGCTCCTTAAAAATATTATCAAAACAACCCATTGATAACAAAGCTGAAGTTATTCTTACTATAGTAAGGGAGAATGCCATTTCAACAAAGTCTTAGTCTCAGAGTCAGAGTCTCAGAAAGGAAAGGGCAAAGTCAGAATATTTATGAGATTTTGAAGTTTGGTCTAAAGCATATCTTTTAATGTGGGGGCTTGATTAGAATTGGATAAGGATCCTGATATAATCATTTCACATTGGTAGACATAGTAAGGCAACGGGTTCTGAGAGTCTTGGTATGTAAACTATCTTTCAATACTCTTTTTCAGAGTCGATGGCTCTTTCCAGAAGTTTCTGGAATGAGCAGTAAAGTTATTTACAATTGTTATCTTCAAGGGAAGAGTTTTCTGGAATAGTGAAGTCATATTGACAAAGACAATGCAATAGTAATGTTATGCTAATGAAGACAATAAACTGTGTAGTTACAGATGATTTCAGGTATCAGGGCCTTTTCCTTGGTGGTCATTCTTCACTCTGAGCTGAAAGACAGGCCATTCACATTTGCAGGTGTGATCAATCCAGACATTCACCTCTACTTGAGATATCACAGTGGTATATCAAGAGTCTGCAGCAGGTTGTCAAAGTATTGTTTTCCTGTTCTGTTGTATTAGAATATACCTGACGCATGCAATATAAATATAAAAAGGATTATACTCAAGAGTTTGTAGTCCATTTTTTAGCCAGAAGCCAAGATTATCCAAATTAAGCCAAGAGATAGATCCCATCCCCAATCTAAGCAGTCTATACAATAAGATATAGAGTTATTATCCAATATAGTTAATTTTATGAAGCCAGGTGCAGTGGCTTATGCCTGTAATCCTAGCATTTTGGGAGGCCAAGTCAAGAGGATCAGTTGAGGCCAGGAGTTTGAGAACAGCCTGGACAATATAGCCATAAACATTCAAGAATCTCTGAGAGTTTTACTAATTTGATTTTTAGAATTATGTTTGTTCTTTCTACCTTTCCTGAAGATTGGGGATGATATGGATAGTGAAATTTCTCAATAAGTGGCAGAGCTTTGCAAAACTGTTTAGTAACAGGCCAAGTAAAGTGGGTGCCTCTGTCACTAGAGATAGACATCAGAATTCCCCAGGTTGGGAACACAAAAACAAGCTATTTTTGTTGCTGTTAGAGTTGTTCTCTGTCAAGGAAAGGCTTTAGTTCATCCCAAGAGTAAGCAATGACCAAGACATATTTGAAACCCACTGCAAAGGGGAGCTGTGTGACATCCATTTGGAGGTATTCCTGGGGGGCCTGAGGTTTAGGCTCTTAGCCATGTCCCACCTTTATAATTTTACCATGATTATGTTGGTAACATCTGAAACATAGTAAGGCTTTCCTATCATTGGTAATTATGTATAGTAACAAATCTGTTTTTCCAGTTGTCTTAGTCCATTCATGCTGCTCTAACAAAATACCACCAACTGAATAACTTATAAAAAACAGAAATTTATTTTTTAAATTTCTTGATAATGCAAAATTCAATATCAAGATGCCAACAGGTTCAATATCTGGTGAGGACCTGGTCTTTGCTTGCAAGATATCATCTTGAACACTTGAACACATCTTGAACGTTGCCAGAGTTGAACGCTATGTCCTTAGATAGTAGAAAGAGCAATCTCTCCCCCATAAGCCCTCTTATAAAGTACTAATTTCATTCATGACATTGGAGCCCTCATGGCCCGGTCACCTCCTAAAAGGCCCAACTCCACTTAATAATGTTGTTTTGGCGATTAAGTTTCAACATGAATTTTGTTTGGAGATTAAGTTTCAACATACATTCAAACCATAGTAACAGTAGTGGATAATTTCATGTAAAATTTTTGCAAAATTCCATTTGAGGACCTTCAGTGCTACCAAGTAGCCAACTATGCAAATTTACATTCAGATATCTCCCAGTACTTCTTTTCTGACTGAAAAGCTGATCACTGGCATTCCATAATAGTGGCTTTGAACTGCTTTTAAACCAAAGATTAATTTCTTGGGATCTTATAAGGGCTATGAGCTTAGTGAGAGCTGTCTGTTCTGGCATAAGGATCAGACAAGTCAAGTCAATATTCCTTTAGCCTGCATATTGTCTCATTTTGTGTGAGCTCTGCTTTTATAATAGCCACTTCCTTATAAAGCATTAGAGCTCTTAAACGTTTTCTAAATTGCTAGCCTTTGTTAATTGAGGTTCCTGCTAAGGTCAAGAACCCTTCCTTATTTCCAGAGCATTCCAAAAGCATATCTACTGTCAATACCTATATTAACTTTCTTATCTCTTGCTAAATGACAAGCTCTGGTGAGCTCAATGAGTTCTGCCATCTAGGCAGACTTTTGCCTCCAACAAAGGACCATATACTAGGGATGAAGTTTTATGATAAGTGGTATGCCCAGGAAGTTATTGAAGAACTAATTTTAATTCATAAAATATCTGCTCATGTTTAGTGCCCAGGGAAGAGGTTCAATTTCTAAAGATTTGGTTAAGTCATATGATAGCATGGCAATTTAAAAAAGTTGGGAACCCATTGCCTACAGTAGCCAGTGAGACCTAGGAATCTTCTTAATTATGTTTGAGATGTGG